CAACACACTATTTTTTTTTTTAAAGTGAAGGCCTTTCAAAATAATTGTGTACAAACAATGGAATAAAAGATTCATATATTTGATAGAGCCGAGTTCTTTTCTTTCATATCTATGGGAGCAATTTGAAAGTAATTTGCATTCGTTCAACAGTCATTTCATGGATCTTGATACAAACTGCATGTATCTGTATTTGAACATCAACGAAACACAATATTAACCAATTGTCGAGTTGTTATGGTTTAACGAGTATGCAATCAGGTGGTAGTTATGTGACAAGCATGTTGTACGTACTTTTTTCTCAATGCACACTAAAATTTAACCAAAAAATACATATCACACAGATGTTTATTCTTGTAAAATAGTTGATTTTGTTATTTGAACCATAAACAAATGAGTGGACTACATACATGGATCAATAAGGTACAAATTTAATTTTAAACCCTGAATACCTACCAGCTAAAATCACAACCAAGTTTAATCTGTGCTTATCTCCTGAAATATCTTTTCTAGTATTTTAGATACTGTTTACTGAGTACTTGACCCCCACACTACACAGTGACTACCATCCTTAAAATATGCAATTTTATGCAATACATTTGCTTGCGATGCAAAAGAAATCTTACTTTTCAAGACTATTACTGGAAATTTTAGACATAGAAAAGCCAAGCTTTGCACTGAAGTCAGCAGATATGTCACTATTGAATTATTATGGAATTTCACGCTTTTTAAGTCCTTTGCAATAAATACATGTTTAAGATCAAAGGATCCAAAGAAAATAAATGATAATTTAGTAAATATCTAATTATCCACCTTCAAATTATCAAGAATCCTTTCTTTTATACAACATCTACTGAACATATACATTGAAATAAAGACTAGACCTTAGCAGCTCAATTAGCAATACCTTTAAAACATGTGCAATTATATGAAATTTAACCATAAATTGCCTTACAACTGATTGGAGACTTCAAGCAATTCACTTTTAGAACATTCAGACATGCACACATTCCTGTGGGGGCAGGATATCTCATTCTACAATTTGATTTAAAACTTCTTTTTTTTTTCAATTTTCCATTTTGGATAATGCATCCCCTTTGAATGTGGTTTGGAAATCAGAAACTCTATGGAGAAATGGAATTGAAACCAATGTAGGCAAGATGTCCCTACTGAATTCATTAGGTAATAGCAAAACCCATATAAAAAGTGATCAAAGTATACGTTTCATTTACAATGTAGACAGATTAGAATAAAATGCTGCACTGTGTCATTCTCGGCCAAATTGACGAGTTACACACAACAGTAGACCCAAATAGCTTGAAAACCATGCTATTCACAATAAGTAGAAACATATTAGTGACAGCGCTAGAGACTTGCTCTCTAACTTTCAATGCTATCTCATAATAATATATGGTGAGATGCAGTGCTCAAAAAACCCATTAGGAGGACCAAAAAAATCTGCATATTGATGAAGTAGCCATCTACAGATACATAAAACGCATAACATGTTGAGAGCAAGCAAAGGTCTCAATATAGTAGACAATTAAAGTGATACTGGTCTGGTTTTAATTCTGGAAGTTAAAAATGAATTTTAGTTGAACATTTAAGAATTGCAGTGAAGAAAATAATCTAGTTTACATACGTGTTTATAATTTTTCTCGCTCAACTATACGTACAAACAGCACACAGAAACAGGAAAGTCAATGTATTGTCTAGGTGTGGTGGTAATAATGACAGGAATATGCCCGTCTCAACCCCCTTGATGACTCCTAAGCAATTAAGGTAGTTTTCATCCCATTCTAATAACAATCAGCAATAATGTATTTTATAGCCTTTTAACAGATTCCTTCATATTGAACACAAACACAGCCGCAATATAATTGCCTTGCAAACAATGCGCCACTAAATTGCCACCAATCACTATTTTAACAATCAAATTAATTTGGGTCCAGTCACAATTAAAATACTTGCAGAATTGAGGGATTTATTCTTTAATTTCCCACCAGAGTAGTATAAAAAAATCTGATTTTCGGATTTAGTTAAGAGATTACAATTCTACTAGAAAACCAAATTTCAGATTGAGGAGTATACACTTTTTCTTTTAAGCATTACACGTGAGAAGACTGTAAATGGATAACACACAGCGAAATGCAGAAACTTAGTGTAAAGTCAATATTGGCATTAGTTACAATATCAGATATCTTTAAAATTTCAAACGTCAAATTTTATGGATTTAAAATGGTTCCAACATTATCAGCTTGAATTTGTCAACATACTCTGTCTGGAAGTTTTAATTATGGTAGATAAACAACAGAATGTTATCTAAATAGATCTAAATTAGTTCTTTGTTATCAGAAATGTGTATATTTTATATTTTTTAGATAGTTTGTATAAACTTGACAGTCTCGCACCATATTTGCTCCATTGAAAATGCACATCTAACAGAGGCACACATGACTTGTATATTGCATTACTTAATTTAGATCATTAATATATGGCTTAATTTGACAATAGACACATTCATGTCATGTACGTGCTACTAATAGAGCTAATATGGTAGAACTATTATGGCACAATTCCAAAATGATCCATTCACAAAATTCTTTAAGCACTCCAAGGAGATACCATGTCATACTAAATGTAAGCAAGTCACCAGTATTTAGAAAATTACAGAAAACCAATCAGTGATATGTAGACGGCACCGGATTTTTTTCTCGTAACTAAATATAAATAAATCATTGAAGTATATGATATGCACATTTTATAATAGAACGTCTACCCATAGTTATGTTTGTTATGTGTTTTTATTTCCTTAATCAGATGCAACAAATAATTGAATTTTATATTGAAGTGCACTAAAATAATTACAAGTCAGTGAGATCTAAACTTGATTGAACTACAAGCAACATTGACTTATTTACTTAAATATTTTTTTTTCATTCAGTGAAACCGGCAGCCCAACAAAAAGAAATGAGAGAAGATTAAACACCAATTTTCAAATACATGCACAGAAAATATTGCCTGATCAGAGTTTTGCTTTCATTGTTAATTAGACAAACAAAAATGTATTGCTAAAGATCGAATGATGATACAATTAGTGTGCAATAGGGTTGTTGTAATTCAACCTTTTACAAAGTGAACCGAATAAATCATTATGGGAAAAAAAGTATGGTATTATGACAACAGTTTCCGCTATGTATGTTACAACAACAATTGTATAGGAGTACCTAGGCAGCCCAACAGAGTTTTTTCCTTGCATGAACTATGCTGGCTTTTAGACAATGTTGTCGCATAATCCAACACAAAGGTAAACACATGGTCGCCTTATTCACTCATACAACCGCTAACAATGCCAGATGAAAGCAAGCTCTATTCCTATACTCTACGTCAACCCAACACACCTTATTAAAAATTCAACAAACACAACCGAATGAAAAGCAAATTTCCAATTGAATGGGAGACAATACATCCAGGTAGAATCATTCTTGTTTATGCAGCAGAGGACGTGAAAGGCTTCCACCTAATCACATTCTCTGGTCCAATGTAATTGACAGGTCAAAGGTTGCAAAAAAACGAAGCTAGCATTGCTGTCCTATAATTACACCATTCACAATTTATTCAGCATGGTGTACATGCTTGGAACTAATAATGTTGGCATGAAAACTACTAAACCATCGCACGTTGCTGCACTATCTAGGCAGTTTGCAAAAACTACTAAACCATCGCACGTTGCTGCACTATCTAGGCAGTTTTCGCAAACAGCTAAACCATCGCACGTTGCTGCCCTATCTAGGCAGTTTGCGAAAACTACTAAACCATCGCATGATGCTGCACTATCTAGGCAGTTTGCAAAAACTACTAAACCATTACACGTTGCTGCACTATCTAGGCAGTTTGCGAAAACTACTAAACCATTACGCATTGCTGCACTATCCTGGCAGTTTGCGAAAACTACTAAACCATCGCATGTTGCTGCACTATTTTGGCAGTTTGCGAAAACTACTAAACCATCATACGCTGCTGCCCTATCTAGGCAGTTTGCGAAAAATACTAAACCATTACACGTTGCTGCACTATCTAGGCAGTTTGCAAAAACTACTAAACCATCATACGCTGCTGCACTATCTAGGCAGTTTGCGAAAAATACTAAACCATTACACGTTGCTGTACTATCTTGGCAGTTTGTGAAAACTACTAAACTAGTACACGTTGCTGCACTATCTTGGCAGTTTGTGAAAACTACTAAACTAGTACACGTTGCTGCACTATCTTGGCAGTTTGTGAAACTACTAAACCATTACACGTTGCTGCACCATCTTGGCAGTTTGTGAAAACTATTAAACAATCAGACATTGCAGCACAATGAATAAATCTGTGATGAATACAAATTATTGAAATCACCGATTGCATATAGAGGATAAACTACAGCTAATACGTCATGTACTAAACCATATAGGAATGTACCTGATAAAACACAAGAAGAATGGATGTTCTATTCTCGAAAAGGGCAAAAAATGTTGTAGAGTGAGCATCCAGGGCAATGGACATACACAATCTGCACATTAGCATAATAGCAGTACATTAACACCTTGATAAATATCCAAAAGAACAATAAACATTCTGTTATAGTCAATTTACTGCTACAATTTGCAACAGTGTAACTAAACTTTTAAATATACCCCCAATGAGTTTTCTTCATTGATCAAAAAAACAGACCTCCAGCACATTTTTTTATGAGAGTGCAGAACAGCAAACCTCATGCAGTATCCAATCAGATTCCATGTGAAATCACTGCTGGATGCCAAATTGCAATGGCATCCCACTAATTAACAGACCAATTAAATACTGGTGCTTCATAATTATCAGTGGCCCACACTCTTGACATGTAAATAACCAGTACCGTGCAAGTACATGTGTGTGTTGTGATTGGCAATGGAAACACTTGGTACTTTACACACAGCGTCATTAAATTAAATAACATTTACGAAAAAAATGTTACATACCTTTCCATATTGAGAAAAGTGGTTCTTGATGTCGTCAGCTGTTGTGTTTGCCGATAACCCCCCAACGAATATCTTCTTTGTTCTTGTGACCATCTGAAAGAAAGCGATAACGAAAAAAAGTAAAACATAATAGGTAATATTCCAAACGAATTGGATCTGATGGAGCACTGAACACACAATTATATAGCATGTCACAGGAAAGACTACTCTATTTAAGCTTGTATGTTGTATCGGTTTATTTCACACATTTTGTGCACGAAAGACCGGGATTCACTGGCTTTCTTGTATACAAAATGAATCCCTGGTAATTATAAACAAAATAAGCCATACTAATATATATTTTTAAATCAAATAAGCTATGATGTGAAAATATAAACACAACCTGTTTAACAGTTTTTAAGAATGTATTAATTAAACAAAAACAATGAAGAGCAGGGCTTTAGAATTGGAAGCTGCTGGTGAATCAAAGGCTTGGTGTAATTCTATCGTGTCTTGAGACCATCATGATATCTCCTTTTGTGAATAGAAATCTGTACAGTTTTACACAGACTGAGGAGGGCAGACACAAACAAGTCAATGAACCTTAATAATAGCACAAGCACTAAAAGTAATGACTGGGCATAACAAGGGTCAAGCTGTTCCTGAAGTTACCACCAATGACATTGACAAAACCACAAAGAAGGTGAATAAAAAATTCATGACAAGATGGATAAATTAATCTTAAATTTCAAGTGAATTTTGTGTGTCTTGTTGAAAAATCAATAAAAAAATATTATTGATTAGCAGAAAATTTCAATAAAGCATTGAAAGTCTGACTTTCAAAATATAAAACAAGCCATTTTCAGTATACTGTTTAATTGATTGTGAAAGCAAAGAACAAATGACTTTAGGAGTGGTGGACAAAGACCTGAACTCTGTTTAATTTACTGCTGAAGGTCTTTTCACCAATAACATTAAAATATCTCAGTTATTGGGTAGTTTATCCAAAACGATAGGAATGAAAAATAAATTCACACCTGCATTATGTACCATTGTTAGGGCTCGAATACTACATGACAAGACTTGTGTGTTCACTCTCAATACTATTTCCAAAACCTTAAAATTGTAAAAATTTAAAAATAACCCCAGAAAAGTACCAGGATGTATGACCTTTTACAGGTCGAAAATAAAGACTATTCAAGTTTTGCAGTTGCTAGGGTTCTGAATACAACAAGCAGTTAATACTATTGCGTGTATCCAATCTAAACCAATGTAGGCCTCTCCCGACAATCACTAGGAAAATAATTTCTGAAACCTTAACACAATTAACATTGTTTTAATAAATAAAAGTATTTGGTCATTTAAACTCAGACACTCTGAGTATCCATGTACTACTAAACCAAGTAGAGATAACCAAGTGAACTGTTGACCTCTTTATACATCAATAGAATTTCCACTATAATTACTTTGACTATTATTCCACTGCCATTTTGATTCATAATAAGAATGCTTCTCATTTATGCAAATGTCAAATTCAGTAGGTTAATCAAAAGTGAGAGCCAGCCAGCCAAGTTTCTGCTATCAAAACAATAGACTGAAATGTATGAAGTCAAGGAAACATTGCGTTTCCTAGCATACTCCAATGACCGACATAAATCTCTTCAAATCTCCCTCTGGTACGCCAGATTGAAACAGCTCACTCTTGCTTGAACTGTGACCTTCCCAGCCACACACAAAACCCTCTTAAAATCTCAAACACAGACAAGATAAATTTATTGACACCACAAACACAAATTTGTAGGTAGAAAGTGGCCACAATGTACATTATTTTCGATTTTTTTGGATTTGAGATACACATTTCCCATTTCAATGAATTTTTGTGCTAATCCATTTCTACTGGTAACAGCTGTGATATGCAAACACATATGAAACCCCACAAATGTTATAAATGTTCAGATTTTAGTAGAAGATCACCCCCATGAATGACCTTTTGTAAAACAAAATCAAATTCAATTAAGAGATACACACTTAGTGAAGATTAGCAGCAATGACCTTCAAGTTTTACAATAAAATGTCATTTGTAAATCAGTTTACTCAAATGTAGTGAATAAACATTAAAAATTAGCAGTGGGGTTATTGTCTTGAAAAGATTTTGTAGCCAGTAGTTGACGATCCATAGCAAACTTACAAATGAATGACAGAATTCCTCAAGTGGGCCAACTATGGTGATGAACAAATCAGTGACATAGAATTTTTTTTAAATGAAATACCTTAGGGTGAGACCTCTTAGGAAAAGCCACTTTGGGGTCAATCTGTCAAAAAAAAAGAAAATGAACAAAATGTAAATAATTATCTTGTTGAATTGGTTACACCGCTGTATAAAATCTAGTCATGAACACAAATACTACCCGTTGATTATAATTAGAAATTCACACAAGATGCGTGTTAATTAAAACATCGTTATAACACTACACGCTAGCATTTATTTACGTTCTGATGTACAAAGTGTGGCTGCCATTTTTTTTAATCATAAACACGATCCGGGATAAAACAGAGTCGCTACATGGCGACATACCAGTACACCATATAATCTGCGTGCCGCTATCTAGAGCATACAGGTTACGGGGTCCACATTTCGAGGCCAACAGCGCCATGCTTGTAATCCGTCCGCTCGTTATTTACTGCCCGAACCAAGCTTTTAAATAAAATGGCCGCTCATTGTACAGAACGAGCCAAACACAAACAGACCATGTGGTTTACATCTAATCGACTTCGAGCTGGTACGTTTCAACCGCGTGGTCGTTGTTGGTGTCGGGGGCCTGAAAAGGTTCATATTGCATCTCGTCATTGTTGTTACCGTTTCACTATATGCTTCCCAGCTGACCTGTAAAGTAGGATCTGTAAAATAGTGGGAACTGCATAACAAAACCCAAGGCCTTTAAAAATCAAACAGTTCTGTTTATAGTAATACACTGACCTTCTTTTGGTCTAACTCGTGCGCTGCCTGTGCTAACACCTTCTCTACGCTGGCGGGATCCCTGAACGTAATAAAACCAAATCCTCTGTAGGAAAGACGGGAAAGGACACACAGCATTAACACGAGAGCAAGAGTCAGTTACGTGCGTAAGTTGTAACAGTGTATCTAACAGTTTTTTTGAATTGTTGCGATGATCACTTCGACAGAAAAGAAATACGGATCTATGAGCGATTAACTGAAACTGTAGTAAATAAGAGTGACTAGTGTGCGTGACATAAATGGAACTACGTAGACAAACAAACTACACACTACTACAGCAGCAGCAGCATCGACTACGATGTTTTAACTAACGTAATCTACCTACCTAGAACGTTTTGTAGCTTGGTCTCGCATCACCATACATTCAGTTACCTCGCCAAACTTACTAAAATACTCTCTAAGGCCATCTAGATAGGGAAGAAAAAGGGAAACACCGTCAGGAGATGAGGTTATTTAAGCTGGGGACATATACTAGTAGCTAGAGCGTGGACTACGGACGCAATATACATGACACACTAACGTATGAATTATGAGCGTGTACCGGTATCTGACACAGTTACGGCTACGAAAATCACTACAATCTAAACCATAACACAACGCTCACCTGGTGTAGTCTGCCAGCTTAAACCTCCGATGAACATTTTCCTGTAAAAATAAGAATGGTAAAGGGTCAACCAACGCCATTTTCACGGCACATAGTGCTACACAAACAAGCTAAACAACGAGCTAACACCAACACAGAGTCGCAATCGGCCATAGTTAACGAGACGTCGATGGACTGTGTTGTGTCACTTTTTACGCTACGAAGCGACGAAAAGCGATGCCAGTGACGATCTAACACTTACCCGGGGTCATTCGGGATCTCGTTTGAGGTTCCTGAGGAGGTTTGCTGGCTTTCGGCCTCCATTTTCTACAGCTACTAAAGCCCGCTAAAAAAGAAGGAGTGCAGAGGAGCTAACGGCGACACGTGGGTACGGTACGGCTTCACTCCTGGATTGGCCCGTCGTGGGTGGGCATTTGGCGCTATTTGGTAAAGGCGCGAACCATTGCTGATTGACAGATGACTCATCGCTTCTGATTGGCCCCTGGTCTGTTGCCCGGCAACAAGGATCAATTACGATGACGTCATCAACCTTCAAATATTTGGCGCTCCTCCCATATGCTGTTTTCATCAGCCGGTTTCATTCCCTCCCTCATTACGGCCTGCCGACAACTTTCGGCCAATCGTTTCATTCACCGACGATACACTACGTCCAACTACACTTGTCAATCAACTGGGAATACACCCTTAAAGCCAAGCTGTCACATTTAAAATACTCGACGTGCACAGCACGTAATACCACACGGCAAGTACACAAAGCCGGTTTGGTGACAGTTGTGACTTCACCCTACATTATATTGTAGCTTATTCAATGCTTGTTGAAAAACACTATTACAACTCTCGTCGACGCTAGTAGCGGATGCGCCGAAAAAAATGTTTGATATTCACCGTTTTGGCTTCTTCTGAAAATACGACTGAATTTAATTTTTACTGCCTAAACGTTGTTATGACAACACTGAAATGAACACTAGTAACTCATTTTTGGAAATTAGCAATACTCACATATACTCATGAGATTGATTTATTAGGAACCATAAGCCACGTGGTAGATCTGTGAACCAAATCTTGCACGCAATACAAATAAATACAGTACTTGTTTTCAGACGGACGTCGAGTAGCAACGGAAGTGGGCTGATGTCAAGTGAACGATAACGGTGATTTGTCAGCTTCACAACAACCGTGTTTCAATGTACCGACTAGGGCAATGACCATATTATTACCATTCCATGGAAATTACCAAGCAGACATTTCTTCAAATAATTAAAATTGGATTTTACACCTTTGAAAAATAATTAATGTGTTCTAGGTAGGTTAGGGGTTATCCATTTGAAATGAAGAACGGTTAGATCAATTGTTTTTACATATGCTTGACGACATTTTTATAATATACACAATCTGGATAACCACGACAATTTTCATAATTTAAAAAAAAAATCGGGATATAATACAATAGCTTATCCTAGATCGGGTCGTCATCTGGCGCGATGAAAATAAGCGGACCCCACCCGAAAATTAATTGTTGTTGCACAAAGCCACCCTCCCTCAACACCGGGTGACAAAGCGAAACATGCCAATATTCGAAGGAGGGTGTTGTGTTTCCGGTACTGCAGTGAGAAGCCTACGCCGTCGTCGCAGTCACCATGACCTATCAGGCCACTCCTACTTCCCGTCTACAGCCAATATGATTGCCGTTATATGTAGGGACACCAATAACGCTGCCCAAATACAATAAAACCAAATAAGTATTTCAGTTACACAACGTTTCAACAAAATTGTAACATAAAAAACACGGTATGTAAATGAGGAGAGAAGTCCGTGATCTTCATTGTGTGAACTTGACTCATCATCCGAAAGTGACGGACTCTCGTCAGAACTGTCAATCATTTGCTGCGAATGAAATTGGACTGAGTCGTCACAATAACGTGTATTATTGCTAAAGTTCACGGCGAGTGACCTGCGTTCATGGGTGAAATCGAACATGCATTCCGACATCCACATTTGGCAAATTACAAACAACGGTACAGCCATCCCCGGAGACGGCACGTCAGCAGTACTGTTCTGTACATTCATGTCGCAAATCTAATCAGCTTTTACATCTTCAGAAATGTCATTTTATATTGTCGGAGGTATAATCTATTTTTTCCTTAATATTAAGTTTAAATTTTGTTGCAACCCATTCCATCGACTAACCCTTTACATCGTCAGCGGTATCGCGTTCTAAACTCAACAAACTTAGATAAATAAACAACAATATATCTAGTGAATACCGCGATCAATTGCTCATAACAGTGGCCTCTTAGAAGGAGATCGCGTTTCACCATATTATTAAACAATGAGCTATTTTTGTCGTTTACAAGGAGATAAAGTCAAGATCATATTGTCAAAATGGCCGTTGCAAAATCTTTTTCAAATACAATCTGTGGTAAACTTGTACATGCCGGTGTTTCGAGTCTATAGTAATCTCAGCTTTCCAAATCGCAAATAAAGATAACAATTAACACACAATTTGAAATAAAAAGCGGCGCATTATGTTCAAGAACTGCGTTTAATTGTTTGGGGGGGGGGGGTAAAAGTAGTGATAATTAATTAATAGTTAGTCGAGATTTTTGTTGAAATGGTACCGTCATGCATAACAATCGGCGTTCATTTTGATTTCAACGAAACATAAACACTCACGCACTGAAGCCCATATTTAGGGTTGTACCATTATATTTACTGGGGGTGGCTAGGTTACGCTTTTCGAGGCAGATTATGTATTACTTTAGATTTAGTGATACCAGCTGATCTGAACGTCTGCGACGAACCAGGTATATTAGAACAGACATGCAAACTATGGGCACGAACGACACGCCCATTTTGGGGGAAGATTCATTTTAAATGGGAAATTCCTGATTTGCATATTCATAGAAACTAACAGACTGCCATGCAAATCAATGTCTAACCGTTGATTATTGTTAGGTCTCATGTTAACCGGATACACGGTACAATTCTACGGCTATAATGTCCAGTATAACAACATACATGTATTATACAGACTCTGGCTTAACGTTTCCTCGAAAACACATGTAAAGAATGAACGATACTGAGACACTGACTACAATTCTTTCGAATTATTACAAAGCTAATGGGTAAATTTGAAAGCAAACGAACACGTTTAAATACAATAAAAAGTTACATTACAATATGGAATGGAAATACTAGTATTATATTCTATTCTATGGAAGGTCAAGAAATGTCATTACGTACTGAATAAAGAACCTAATGTATTTCAGAATGTACAACTAATTGCTGCTTTTGACACGTACCAGGGGAACAATGGGTTACCATAGCAATTCGCATTATATAATTTATTTTACTTCAACTATATAGAAATACTATTGAAACAAATGTAAACATACTTTTTTATGACATCTTGACTATTTTGTATTCTTTATTCATGGTTTGGTCTCAAAGCGATATGGCATCATTCTGTATCACCGACTCCAATACTTTATCTAAAATAACAAACGGAAATTGATATGAGATCTGTATATTGGCTAGTGGGCCAACTTAGATACAACGTCAGAGTGACGGAATAGTCATACGAGGGCCAGGAATGTGATGTCTTTTATAACTCTACCGAGATACGGTGTGCCGTCAAAAGTTCGTATGGAATACCCACAATAGAAATTCGGCATGTTATTCACTGTTTTCATAATATGCGACTTACTCAGGCTCCAGGGAATGCGGGAGATCATTTTACCGAATATAAAATACATGAATTGTAAATCATGCACAACAAGTAATTAAAAATCCTAAAGCGCAATTATTATAACATCCTCTGCGATCATACTGATTTATTATATCTCATCAAATCCCACCTTTTGTGAGAAATTAAATCAAATTCAAATATGCAATTGCACGTTTGATCACACTGACATTAAGTTGGTTCAACCAACTATATTCACGCGAGACTCTCCTCTATATTCACGCGTGACTCCCCTTTATATTCAAGCGAGACGTTACCGTGCTCGGTTCTTCGAATCACCTGACCACGCCTTCTATGTTGGAGTAATTAATTGAAATAGCACACGATTTATGATTACGAACACGTTGACCGTGCCACTGGACGTCGATTCCCGGAGTTGTTAATATAGGGGCATCAAAAAAATACGTTGGTTCGTCCCTTACACGAAAAAGGTCACCTACAATGATGCTGTTGAGACTTCAGGATTTGATGATAAGAAAATGATGAAGTCGGAGTACTTGATTTGAGATGGCGACAAGACTAGACGGAGACTTGCTAAGATATTTACCTACTAATCAATATACACAAACAATTAACTTTTAAAATGACCAAAATTCATCATCCAGGGTCTGTCGCAGCAAACACCGATGAGTCATCGTCATTATCTTCGTGGTGTTACTGACCACAGAAAAAAAAAATGGAGCAGTCGTTTAGAGAGTTATTTTGCCCTGTGGTGATCGCTTAATATTATAACATTCATGCCGCTGTCATTAGCAAAAGTGGGTCACCACCTGATGGCAATGTATTTGATATTGAGCGTGCCCCGGGGTCGCAAAGCGATATAAGAATAACGTCAGAGGAGTATACAAGAAAATGTCACGTGGATGTCACCGTTCCAATCACCACAATTAGGAAACTGTTCTAGCGAACAATACATGTGTCAAGCAAATAACATTAGGAGGGAACCTGTGTAGTAGACCGAATATTGCGGGAGGCGTCAATAGACAATATGTGATGGGATGTATAACATAGAACAGTGGGAAGGGACTGGTGGGATATGTAGCAGAGTGTATGTTTTGAGCAGTTGGTTTTGTGGTAGAGAAAAGTGGGAGGGAACGGGAGATGTGTAGCACAGCACTGGGTTAGGTGTATGTGTATAAGAAAATATATGTCCGGGCAGTTGGTTTGTAGTAGAGAAGGGTGGCAGAAAACTGGGATTGTGTAGCAAACCACAGGGGTATGTGTAGTAGACTGTATGTCCGGGACAATATGTTTTGTAGTAGAGAACAGTGAGGGAATGGGAGATGTGTAGCAGATCACTGAGGTATGCTTAGTAGACAGTATATCAGGGACAGTTTGTTTTGTAGTAGAGAACAGTGAGGGAATGGGAGATGTGTAGCAGATCACTGGGGTATACGTAGTAGACAGTATGTCAGGGACAGTTGGTTTTGTAGTAGAGAACAGCGAGCAAATCGGCAGATGTGTAGCAGATCACTGAGGTATGTGTAGTAGACAGTATGTCAGGGACAGTTAGTTTTGTAGTAGAGAACAGTGAGGGAATGGGAGATGTGTAGCAGATCACTGAGGTATGCGTAGTAGACAGTATGTCAGGGACAGTTGGTTTTGTAGTAGAGAACAGTGAGGGAATGGGAGATGTG